GGGCTTCTCTTGCATACAATGGGGAGAAATCGGGTTACACGATCGCTGATTTTGGGTCACGATCCAGCTTGCGATTCTGGTCACGTTTTCGGTCACGTTTTCGACGATCGTTACGCAACGGCTCTAACCGGATTTCCCTCTAACACTATGTATAGTGAACGTGAAAAAGATTTTTTTTTTTGTGCCCGTACATTGGGTATTAATCAGAATATAAATGACGCAAATCTAACCACACACTAAACTAATTATATTACCCTAACTAACCCTAATAATGAAAGTTCGATTAAATCTGATCCGAGTAACCAGTATTAATTAGAACTCTGGATTACGTAACGGATTAATATGTAAATCACATAAATTTTACTTATCGGGGGAATAAGCGGAGCAAAGAATTAAATTAAAAACATTGGATTCAATGGGTATTGAATTCAATGAGTATCTTTTAGGTGAGTACATATTAAAGGAATTTACTAAATTTTTATAATTCTAATTGTCAGTTTATTAATTCTAAATTCACTAAATTCAGCAAATTTTCTAAATTTACCCAATTTTAGAAAACTTTAATTTTACAATTTTCCAAAAATTTTCGTCGATCAGGAGTTTCACTGTGTACGTACACATAGGCGTACATATGCACGAACTTACGTATGTATATACGAACGCAAGTACGTATACAAGAACGTACGCACACACGTACGAACATACGTATACACGTTCGTAGGAACGTACGTACGTATACAAGAACGTACACATACACGAATGAACATACGTATCCACGTACGTAGGAACGTACGTAAGGAATCATAAAATTTATAAATTGAATCGATATTCTTTTTATCTATGTAAGGTTTTTAGTTACGTGAAAAAGAAAAAAAAAATACAAAATGGCACAAGACTCAACTGACATTAAAGAAACCATTGGGGCTCTTGACGATTATGTTCTTCTAGGACGTAGTGGTTTGCGGATTTCTCCTCTGTGTCTTGGAGCATTGGTACTGTATAATTTTTAATTTGACATCATTATAATTAGTCCTTTAAATTAAAAATTTTTTTTAATGGCTTTAAATCAAGACTTTTGGCGAAAAATTTGTAAGACATTTCTTTGACATGTTGCTACATGTTTAAACATAAAATTATATGCGCTTATAAATATTTTATAACATTTAATAGGGATTAGGTTCGAATTATGAGGAATCTAAGAAGGTTTTCGACTATTATTATGAAAAAGGCGGAAATTTCTTCGGTATATTTATATATTTTCTACATAGCATAAATCGGTTCCGCAATGATTGTTGGGTTTTCAAGTTGGAACTTTTTAACATTTTACCCTTTTAACTAGCTTTCAACTAATAAAAAATGTAAAAATTATATATTTGATAAATTCGTCAATTAGTTTTGTGATGAAACTGATCAAGTCGTTAAACTAATTCAAAAACTAGCGATACTGATTAAAGTATTGAAATTGTTAAACTAATTCAAAAACTAGCGATACTTATTAAAGTATTGACTAAGACTACAAATATTTTCAAGACCGATTTACAATATTGCAGGACCGATTAAAATTTTAGAGTATGTAATGCGTTATTTATCAATATTTGAACTCACAAGATGGTTATTATTTTAGATACCGCTAACGCATATAATTTTGGCGAGGTAATGATGACTATTGATTATAAAACTGCCGCATACACTCTCTAGTATATGTAATATGCTAACTGTTCATTTTTATTATACTGTATAACTAAAAGAGTGAAGAATTCCTTGGAGAATATATTGCTGATAAACGTTCTCAAGTTGTAATCGCTACAAAATATACTGGTATATTAATATGGTTATTCCTTCATCGTAAAAAGTCTTTATTCTGTCATATTATTTACATGTTCATAAATTTTTATTTAGAAAATCCTACTGCTTTAATGCCAACTGTCAGATTTAACCCGAATGCTGGTAATTTTTATCATTCATTTTATGAAATTATATGTATTGTCTAGCTTGTCAATGAAGTGACATGGCTAGCATTATTGCGAGATCAGAAGATCTCATGTCATGTGCAGAACTGGGAAATTGTATCCTTTTA